TGTGGTGCTGGGGGATTGAACCGCGGTCCCTGTGCTTTGCTAAGCTTGTTCTAAGTAGGTGCTTTAGACCACTGAGCCATCTCACCAGCCCCGTTTTCATGTACTTTAATGAAGCAGCATTTAGCTCTTCGGTTTATTTTACTTGCCTGGGATTCAGTTATTCTGTAGTCAAGTTAGTCTGTGAAGAAAGCCATACAACTGGGGACTTAAATGTGGTAGGGGTCCTTCCGATAGCCCCACTTAAGAATAAGACCTTTACCCTGTTACACCTGCCTCTCACACACAGCCTCTGCGCCACAGGCTTTCCCGCTGCTTTCTGGACTCTATTTTCCTTTTTGAGTTTCTTGTTGACACATCGCCCCCCTTTTGTGTTACCCACATCGCAGGCAAAGGGTTGTTATCCTACTGTCAAAGAAGAGCAGCAGTTTCTCTTTGAAACAAAAGAAAAAGCCCTGTCATTTGTGTTTCATGAGGAGCTACATAGCCAAATGCCATTTTTCTGACCCATGAAATGCACCTAAACCAGATGATATCTTCTCACTGAAAACCTTCCACAGATTTAAAACCAGAAATAATAAAGCCTCTCTCTTTACCTATACATCCCTAATAGTGAACTAATCTCACGGTCCACTATTTTGTGCTTTGGGATATGCTATTTAATTGTTTAGTCCAGGTCCAGGCTGAAGGGTGTAAATCAACAATAGCTGCTTCGCTTTGCTCATGATGTAGTGGTCAGGGATGAGGAAGGATGAGCCGGGCAGTGTCCACTCAGGGGCTGGGGTGACCGCGACTGGGTGTCAGCTTGGGCCAGATCATGGGCCTCCATCAGCGGCAGTGTGCAGGGGACCCGGGCTGACTGCTGGTCGCTGGTGTGCCCGCCGGGCTGGGTGCATTTGGAGCTGGGGCCCAGACTGCGTGTGTGCAGCTGCTCCAGCACGGTGGTGTAGTTTGAGTTTCTTACGTGAGAGCTGCCTTTGTCAGAGCCAGGTGAGCAGGTGCCAGTGGCGTAGTCTCTGTCCTAGCCTCGGAAATCTGAGCATTGATTTCACAGCCCTGCGCTGTTCACAGAGATTTACACAGCATTCACCACGCCCACGCTGCTGCCTCCCAGCCCAACCTGCTCGCTCCACTCTTCTGCCGTGGGCTTCTGTGCCCACCTCGCCCCACTGGGGTGGATCCTCACTCATCACTCTTACTCAGCGTCCTTCTCCAAGGTGTGCTTTCCTGTCTTGTGCACCCAACCTGTCCTGACAGCTCTTGTTACTGAAGTTACAGGCGCTGGACCTTTGTGGCTCAGCTTGAACAGTGCTATCTCAGAGCCACTTCCCTTGGAAGGTTGTTGGGTCCCTTTAGACAAAGACAGGAATTAATAGCGGAAGCTACATATGTCCTGGGCTACTAAATGGCAACACTGAATAGCAAAGCAGTAGGGAACGAGGCTCAACAGTAGTAAGCAACAGTGTTACTGATTATCTGACATAGACTGCATATATGTATTTGTACCCATTTTGTCACTGTCACAGCTTTCACCTTGTGATAATAATTCTTGGGCTTATTGCTTATCTTCTGCAGTTTTAATTCGATGGCTTAATTGCAGAATGTACTGGGAGAAGACTAACAACTGTCTCCTGAATGCCAGCTCAGAGGCCCTTCACTTCTATAAGCCCCAGAAGAAATAAACATATGAAAAAACGTGCAATATTTTCTTTACCATTCCTTCTGACCCTTCCTTCTTGTGATCTTTCTTCTAGAAATTAAAAAAGAAAAATCTGGGAAGACTTCTGCAGCTCTGAAGGAGAAAGGTACCAAAATCAATAGTATCATAATGAAAATTTATTACTGAAAATATGTCTGTGTAATACATTGCTGACATTGCCTTACGTTACACTAAACTACATAGGTTACACTTATTTTAAAAAATTCTTTTATCCATACCCAAAATATTTTCTTCCTGCTTCTTGTGTCCTTCAAAGTACCCTGATTAGAACTAGAAGTCCACTGAAAAGCTCCCAGGAAATCAGAGCAAGCCTGAAAGCGACAGCCCTCTTGGCATCAGGGGGCTCAGAGCCGAGGTCCCCTTCACTTTCTGAGACTATTCTCCAAAGCAGAAACGTTCAGTTTGCTACCTCGAAACCCCTTGCAGAGGTGCATGCCCTGCTGCTCCCATCCCTTTGTTCTCCACCAAAGCCCAAGCCTCCTGGGGCGCCCTCTGCCCACACTGTGTGTGCTGTCACTGCCTCCCACGGAGACATTTGCATAAGCAGGCTGAAGCTGCAGTTTTGAGACCCATGCCACCCTGCTGGACTCCGTATGGACTGCCACTGATCATTTCTCAGCACACCGACTCTAGGCTCTGCTCAGATGTTCAAGAGCCACGAATTACCCTTATCAGCTAGGATGAAAAAACAATAAAACTTCTCAGTGTGCCGTGCAGTTCAGGGCTTCTGACCATAAGGTCACATGCTGAAATCCAAAATACTCGGGCCCGAATCTATGTGTAGCACCATCAGTAGCTTCATGTGTGTCACACTGCCACCAACACCACTTTCAAAAATTCTGAATGCTGTAGCAAATGTTGCTTTGAAGGATGCTGCTTTTTTAAATTAAATTTTAATTAACAGAGAATTATAATTTTGATACGTATTTACAATGTGAAATGATTCAAACAGACTAACTTAGAAATCCGTGCCATATTCTTTGTGAAGAAGACATTTAAAAAAATCCACTGGTTCTGCAGTTTCACAGTGTGCAATGTACTGGTTTTTGTCACAGCCAACCCTCTCTGCAGTAGATTACTAAAGCTTCTTTCTGTCGTGTGCATGAAGCGCCACACTCTCGCTCTGCCCACCCACCTCCTCAGCGTTTCCTTTCTAGCGGGGGCCCCTTTAGTCTTCTAGATCATTCCACGTGTGAGATGCAGAACCGGCCTTTCTGTGCCTTGTTTCCTTCACTTGGCCTAAGACCTCCAACCCACTAGTTGCCCTCCTGGGAGCACTTTCTCAGTCACTTTAGGAGGACTGTGGACAAGACCACAGTCACAGTACCCTTTCAAAAATTCTGAATGCTGTAGCAAATGTTGAACCAGGAGCGAAGGGCTGCAGTGGTAGAGCGCTTTCTTTTTTCCTTTTCCCATTGCATGAACTGGTACTATGACCTACAAGGTGAACGTGGAAATTTAATGCTGGAGAGAAAGCAGAAAGCAAGTGCCATGTGCCTCCTGGCCGGACGCTGGGGAGCTGCCGTGAGGCTCGGCTTGCTGCTTGCAGCCTGACGTGGGCAAGTCACACTGAGCTGGAACAGAGGCAGTGCAGTTTTATTGGACTTATTTAACTAGAATCTCAATTTTTGTGTTTTTGGAAGTTTATCATGAAATGGGCTTATAGAAAAATAATCTCTCAAGTTTTATTTTACTTTTAATGTTAGTTTTTTACTTGAGTCTAAAGGTGAAAACACCACATCTATGTGAGTTACTTTTGGGGTGGTTTTTATGTATTTTGTACATGGTCTCACTGTGCAGCTTGGACTCATAGTGACCCCCACGTCTCAGCCTCCCCAGAGCTGGGGTTACAGGTGCACACCACCACAGTTGGTCTCTGTGGCCAGCCCAGCACGCCTGGGGGCTGGACCACACAGCCTGTGGTACCGGGGATGGAACCCAGGTCTCTGCGCTTGCCTAGGCGGGCGCTCAGGCCTCCGAGCTATCTCGCCGGCCCTTTGACATTTATATGACATACGCAGTATTTCTCATTGGTTGTTTATTTTATAAAAAGTGAACTGAAAGAAATAAGCTGAATTAGTGCTGACTAAAAAATCTGAGATTTCTAGACGCTGTCTTGTATTTTCTAAAATTACAAGGAAGCAAGTTCCTCTCCATTTGAATGTTCACCATCTTAAATGAGCGAGTATATTATGACTTGTTCAGCAATCCGTGTGACTCGGGATGCAAATCGCCAGGTGACGCTCACTGCACCTTGCGCTGCTCCTGCACTGTGCCTGGTGACACAAGGCGTTTTGAGAGTAAAAGAGCACCTCCTCCTTCTGCCCAGAGACAGCTCCCGCCGCCTGCTGGCTCCCTTATGCTCATGTTCTCAGCCTTCTTTGTTGCAGCTGCAAATAAGTGCTCGTTTCTCTCCAGAGACTATGAAGGGGAAAGAAGTGAAGGCCCCAGCTTCCCTGAAGGAAAAAGGTAATGTTTTAAAATGACGTGTGAAGCCGCGTCAACCTGCCTATCTCGTATGCAGTGACTGGCCAGAGGGGGCCCAGTGTTGCCCTTCTCAGACTTTCAGAACTGTGGTTGTCATGTGTCCTTCTGCTTCTGAGCAAAGGCACAGGGCATCTTCCCCCACCACATTCTGCACTGTGCAATGAAAACAGCCAAGAGAAGAAATCCCTTACAAGCCCTAAACTCTTCTGATTCCACTGAATCCGGCGGGGCGCTGAAGGAAACGGGCTGCACGGGGAATCGCACCGGAGAGTACAGCGATGCAGGCCCAGCATGCCCGGAAGTCAGAGTGCGCGCACCTTGCAATTAATATTAGATTAGAGAAAATTGATATTTAATGAAACATCAGGCGGGACATGGCTTTTTCTCAGCCCACGTGTGTACTTAATGTTTTCTAAAGTACTTCATGCCAGAGAGCTCCAAACCCATCAAGCCCTTCATGCTTCACTTGAAGTATGTATGATCACAGTCAAAACTCAAATTTTAAAACCACTCCTCGTGATGGCAGCTGCTTTGGGAGTGCTGGGCATGATGCTGTCACCATGGCGCCGTGATGGGACGTGCAGGGCATTTCGCCTTGCAAGAGGCCTCACAGATGTCACATTAAGTTTCCAGGAAGAACCCAAATGTTGCTACCTTTGTTATTCAAAGGATATTAATTAAGTCTGGGAAAATTGTCTTGGATTAACCTAAATGCTAGTTTATTTTACATAAATTCTGTATTTCTTTATTATGATTTCACTATTGGACACCGTGGACACAGGCATAATCTGAACTGAATTGGCTGTTTGGCAAAGATCCAGTCGCACAATGTGTTATATTTATTTTGCTTATCCTAAGACAAAAATATCAAAACTATCAAATCTGTCTTTTTTGAAGCCTCATTTTCCAAGACAATGGACGTATGCCTATAGGCTTTGAGACCTCTTTTCTAGTCCTTAATATTAACAATAAAATGTCAATGGATAAGTTCTGAAAGGCAAATCCAGATCACTCTAGAAGCAAACATACACTCGATGAATACCAAAACAGAAAGCCACGAGTGAGCCACCACGGAGCCACGCAGGCCACGCTCATAGCAGGCCCTGCTATGCGGGGCTCCATTCCCACACAGCCAAGGCAGTCCCGTCAGGGCAGGCAGCAGTGACCTAAGCAAAGCAAATGGCAGCTAGCCAAGTTTACAAACAAAAACATCCCAACTCCACCCAGCAAAAAGGGAAAAGCCAGCTGCAGCCAGAACTTCTCTGGGGCTACAGTTTATAGGAAGGTGTGGACTTCAGAAAATATGAGAAACAAGGTCAGTCTCACCCAAGGCCTGCGCCCTGCCACCTGCTGGAAGAGTGCCTTGCTCTGCAATGTTCCTAATCTACCTCGGGCAGAGGCCTGGGATCCTCAGGGCATAGCATGGGGACAGGATGATGCTACCAGAGTAAAACCGGGCTTGGGAAGAAGAATGAGGAAACAGAAAGAGTAGCAACCACAATACGCACTCTAAGATCTAAATACACCCCAAATTCCAAATCAGATGGCAGATATTTCATGTGATGGTGCTCAGGCGGGTGTTGTTGTGGCTGGGTTATGTGGCCATTTCAGGCAGACCCTCTGATCCACAACAGAAAACTCCCAAGCCCTGCCTACACCTCCACACCATCATCCAGAAAGAGGAAGGAGTGTGGCCCAGTGGGGCTGCGGCGGTGGCCCCGACCGTGTGCCACTTGGGAAGCCTGAGGCTCTGGGAGTGAGGCAGAAGGTCCACTTAGTCAGCGGGGCTTCCTGTCCAGATGCACTTCTGGGCGTGTTTGTAGGTAACCGTGGAGCATTACACATGTGGAATGTGCAGGCTGATGGCAATAACCGCAGTTGGTGGGAAGAGCGGCAGGCAAGAGAGACAAGTATCAAACGAGAGAGGCATTTGGACCAAGCAAACGCCTCCAGACCCCAACGCCTGCGCACTTGACGTGCTCTGGGAGATGCGTTTATTTAATAGGACACGTCTGTCTTTGTTATAAATAACTTTGTTAAAATAGCCCTTAGGCCAGGAATTATATAGAAAAATTCACCCAATTTCCAGCAAACTCATAAACAGCAAACATCAGTGAGAATTGTTTGAAGGATTATTGAAATGTAAGAAACCCGTTAGCCAAACTTTCACAAAAGGGAAGAAAGACAGAAAACAGAGAAAAAGAAAAGAGCAAAAAAAAAAAAAAAGGGGGGGAGGGGGCAGGAAACAAGATTGCTGATTAAAAAATGCAGAGTGGTGTGTAGCACTCTACAGATAAAATAGAAATTATGAAATCATAGCTGAAATAGTACTAGAATGTATGTAATTATGACGGAAATTTAGATGAAGTAGGCAGTCTCTAAAAATGTTGCAATGGTCAAAATTTGCTAAATACATAGAAAATTGGAATGAGCCAGAGATCATCACACTCAAAATAATGCTGACTGGCTCTGCAGACAGCTTTCAGTGTTGGGCAAGTGGCTGCAGGTGACAACAGAAGCGAGCACTTGTCCACGCCGTAATCTGATGGAGTATGAGCATGATGTGCAAAGGAGCCGCACTCCGCAGCATTCAGCACGTGAAGAAGACTTGGCTCAATGCTGTGGCACTGGGGGCAGCTGGTTGTGTTGGGGAAGAGAGGCGCAACGCAACTCCACCGGAGAAGGAGACTGTTAAGCACTAGGCGGGGCTATGGAAACGCAATGCAGGGGCAAGCCTTGGGGCCCTCTGCGCTTGCTGCCCGCACTCATCGAAGTCAGAGCCTCCCTTCCCACCAGGGGACGGCATTTCTGATAATCTCATGTTGAAAAGATGGCTTTAGGTCCTTGAGTTACATATTTATGAATTGTAACACTGACAAAAATAGAGGGGAAGTATTGTACACTGCAAAGGGACAGGAGGAGAAGTTGCAGTTACAACTTTGCTGAAGTCTGTTGCTGAGGAAAAGGTAGGTCATGAAGAGCCAGGTCTGAAGCACCCCCACACTGAGAACACCAGCACATCACCTCAGCAAATGACTCAAGAAGACATTTAAGAAAAGACGACTGCTTTCTCTTAAGAATACAAAAATTTAAAAACAAATTAGAAATGATACAAAATTTCATTAAACAAAGAAAAATGAATTCAACAATGGTTGTTGTGTAGCATAATATTATCTTCAAATTAGTTGTTTAGGCCACCAAAAATAAACCTGAAAAACTGGTAGACAATTAAAAAGTATAAGAAATTAAAATGCAAGGGGGCTGCGGACATGGCTCAGTAGAATAAAAAATTAAAATGCAGAAGAAAATAAATATTTTTAATTTAAACATTCCTTTCAGTAGGCCCGCAGAAATGAGCAGTCCAATTACGCAAGCCATCCTGAATAATACATATCTTTTTCCCTCCTTTCTTTTGTCCTTTTCCTCATCCAAATCATTCCTCCCCATTGTGCAGATTCTCTCCCTTTCACAGTATCTATTGTGCCTTTCAGATTTTATTTACTCTTTCAGGCTCTCACACTATGTCCAAGACAATATGATGTTTCCACATGCAGGGCTGATTTATGTCACTTACCAATGTAATATCGCTACCTGCATCTATTTATCTATAAAAGCATCGAATTTATCCTTTCTATAACTGATTAATACTCCATTATATAAAAATACCATTTCTCTTGTATCCATTCCTCAGTTGATGGGCATTTGGGTTGTTTCCAATATTTAGCTGTGACAAATTGTGCTGCCTGAAACGTGGCTGCACATTATCGCTGCGGTATGATGATTTCAGTTCTTTTGGGAAAATACCTAGGAAGGGAATAGCTGGCTTGAATGGGACCTCCAATCCTAACTTTTGAGGAGTCTCCATACTGAATTCTACAATGATTGTACCAGTCTGCATTCCCACAAAGAGTGGAGAAGGATTCCTTTTTCTCACAGCCCTTTAAGCATTTGTTATTGGCTGACTTCTTGATGTTAGCCATTCTTTCTACCATAAGATGGAATCTCAGGGTAGTTTTAATCAGCATCTCTTAAATCATCGATGATGCTGAACATTTTTTCATATATTTGTTTGCCACTTGTATTTCTTCATTAGTGAAGTATATGTTCATCTGAGATGCCCATTTTTTGATTAGGTCTTTGAATTTTGGAGGCCTGGTTTTTTAACTTCTTTTTATGTCCTTTGTCTGAGGCACTCACTGTTGGTTATAATTTTTTTCCTTAATTCATGGGTTTTATTTTTATTCTGTTGGTGATTTCTTTTGAAGTGCAGAAACTTTTCGAAAAGATGAGATCCAATTGTTGATTCTTTGAAGTATTTCCCGTGCAGTTTGGATTTTGTTCATGAACTGTCTACTCCTATGTCTTCAAGGGGGCCTGCCCCTTAGCTCAGTTCTTTAAGTGGCTGCTTCCACAAAGCAGTCAGGCTCAGGTTGCTGTGGTTCATCCCACAACTCAAGCCAGACAAACCTGCCCTGAAGGCATTCGGAGAAAAAAAATCCTATGTCTTCAAAATTTCTACCTACTTTCCCCTCCAGTACATTTAGTGTTTATGTCTTAAAATTTAAATATTTCATCCATTTTGATTGTAGTTTTGTGCATGGTGATAGACATGTGTCTAATTTTAGCCTTTGGCATGTGGAAGAAAAGACAATTTCTATTAAAACTATAACACAAAGTTATAAATAAAATAGTAATTTAAGCTCATCTAAGACATCGTGATTTCTCTACTCTCAGAAGAGCATTAATCTCAAAACCACCTACTGTTAATAACAATCAAAGAAACAGATTAGGAGAAAAATGGCAGGCTCTTTCACAAATGTAAAAAGATCAATAAAATTCAGCATTAGTTTATTATACATTTTCAGCATGCAAGATAATGGGGCTTCAGAAGTTTTGAGGTTTCATAGTCATAAAAATGTTCATGAATGGCAGGTCCACACGGGCAGGTCTTTCCTATTCCTGCATTGTTCTGGGAATCTGCA